TTGTGGATAATTAGCATCATAAGAAGAATCAACAGATCTAAGATCACTCAAAATTTTATTAAACCTAGAAAGATAGTCATCCAAAGCTTCTCCAGGTTTCATCTCAAATTTAATATACTCCTTTTTGAAAATATCACGACGAAGTTCTTTTATGTTATTTGTTCCTTGATGAAAGTTACTCAAAGCATTCCAAATTTCATGAGCAGTTTGAAGATGTGCAACACGATCATAATCCGAACGAGAAATACCGCTCAAAAGAATGTTGCGAGCTTTGCAATTTTGTTCAAAAGCAGTTTTTTCAGCAGCTGTATTAATAGCTTCAGGAATAACATAAGGATGAGAAACTTTTCTCCAAATATCATAATCTTCAGCCATAATATAAGATTGCATCCTACTACACCAATGAGAAAAATCCGTTCCATCGAAAACATGAGGCTTAGTTGAAAACCTAACAGGAGTAGCCATGGCAAAAACTCTAGATCGATAAAAATACAAAGAAGAAAACAAGGCTCTGATACCACTTGTAGGATCGAATAGCAATAACTAAGCCAACCAAAGGGGGGGTAAAAACCTAAAACTTTTAGCGGAAATAAAAGTTACCCTTGAATTCAACGGAGATCGGTCTGACCGAGATTGATCTGCCGGTCTGACCAAGTGGATGCCGCCGGTAAGTCACCGGTTGGATCGCCGAAACCCGGTGAAACATAAATCAAAGAACTCTTAAAGTGGATGACGACTTTATTACTTCTCTCTGTGTTTACAAAGTGCACCAACAGTACTCCTTACAAAAATTTTGACTAAACTTGAAATCCTAACTCAAAACTCAACTCAATTGCTCTCAAAAGCGATACCGGGAAATCTCACGCTCCCTCTCTATTTATACCACAAAATCCCCCTACTCAAAGTAGGTGTAGAACTCCTATTCACGATAGGATTCAAACCCTCATATTCCAAATCAGCAGTACCGGCTGCAGAAAAACCACATCGAAACGGATTCCTTTCCGCTGTTGTCAGTGTGCACTCGGTCTCCTACTCCCGTTCGGTATCCTCATGCACACGTCATTGATCCAACAGGCCTGTTCATCCTGCTGAACCGTTCGCACGTGGGCCAATGGCCTGTTCACCAAGCCGAGCCACCACATGCTGTACACATGCATATACACGAGCTGCAGCCACACATGCACAGCACTGTACCTGCATATATACCACACCCATATATATTGCTACAGTACCTCGCCGTACTGTAGCGCCATATACTCAACTCCAAATTCTTCCAATCTCATTCGTGAACACCGATGCTTGCACGCACACCTCGTGAAGCCCGTTGCGAAGATCTCACCCACACAGTATCCATCCACCGTGTGTCATCTCGTATTCAACTTCGTCACCCGGTATCCTTGACCGTCTGGACCTCAACTCCTCCCCGAGTTTAGTCCCGATCCCCACCGTTGACCGAAGTTGACCTCTAAGAATTCTGACTCTAGTCACCTTCTCACATGGTATCCCGACCGCACTAGACCTCTGCTCCTCCCTGAGTATAGTCCCGGTCCTCACCATTGACTAAGGCTGACCTCAAGTCACCTGTATACAATCAGACAAAACAACCGTTCCTGGGCACAGATATCACAACCTGACCCACATTAGTCACACGCACTCACACCAACATTCACACATACTCTCAAACCAATTCTTTGATTAAATCATTTGCATAGCAAATTGTTCATCACAAATATTAATCATGACAATGATTTCACAATCTCCCCCTTGATGAACACATTGGCAAACTCTTTAAAAATGTTTTGGTGTTTGGAAAAATAAAAACAAAAGTGGTAAAAAAAAACACTTCGTACAAACGTACACATCGTGCTCAAAAATCCAAAAGAAAACTTCTCCCCCTTTTTAAAAGAAAGAAATTCCCTCCCAAAAATTCTCACATTACTTCTCCCCCTTTTGACAATGATTTCATCAAGCATAAGAATTATGTTCATTAATATTCAAGAGCTTAGCATACATATAGCATATTAAGTCATGTGTTGCAATAAAAAGAAGACGAATCCATCTATAACATAACAAGCATACATAAAAGTATAACCATGAACCAAAGATTTTACAATTAAGCTTGAATCAACAATTAAAATTCATGATTTCATACGATTTATAATGCAACATCTTAACAAGCACATAGGTTGAAGAATAAACACTAAACACATATACCTATTGTATTTATCACTCTTTCTCAATGAAATCTGCAACGCCACTTATATAATCATTAATACATCAGTCAACTCCATACATCCAACTTCTATCCATTTGTAAATGTGAATAAATATTAAATATAATATCTCATGCAATATGCATTAGGAAATTTGTAGCCATGGTTTATTTATTATTGCCCAGAGAGCTGTTTTTTAATTCTTTTTTCTTCAAAAAAGGAGAAAAGTTTCACCCCTTTATCCCTCTCACCCGAAATGTGAACAGTATACTAATTAAGTTGCGATAACTATTTCACCAAGTTTGGAGTTATATATAGGGACTCTAGATACATGTAGCAGGCTGTTAATTGGAGCCCGCGAAAGATGATGGTAACCTCGGACCCATCACTAATGAGTGATGACCCCTCATCGGTGATGGGGTTTTCTTGTGGACGGTCATAAATGACATGTGTCAGGCTGAAAATGAAGCCCGTCGCCCGATGAGGGGTCATCGATGACAGGTGCGTCCATGAATCCCAGTCTTCAATAGGGATTTTTTTTGTTGGCCTGATACAGATGACTACCTCTATGATGGGCTGCTGGCGTCCATCACAGATTGCCGTTCACGATGCCTGGTTCTGTATTAGTGTTTGTTATTGTACCTTAGATCAGATATGGGCCATTCATTGCTCTTGATCAAATGGATCGGATCCAACATTTCAATTCTAGATGGCGTGGGTAATTTCAAGATTAACCATGCATTTTTTCCATACCCACATAGGTACAATACATTCTTTTAGAGCTAAACATAGCTACAATCAGGGTTTACACTTTCGAAAAAAAGCCAAAATTTTGTTACAATCATGCTTTCAAACCATCAAAATTTCATGAATTTTGGGATTTTTGGAACTTCTTTGCATGAAATTATTTGAAACGCAAGTGGTTGTAAGATGGGTTGGAGGACCTGCCAAATACCCATGGGTTAGGGAGGGAAAATTTCATGCATTGAAAGCCACCAAACTACCTTAATTAACACAGGAATAAATTAATAAGTCCACAAGAGATAGACAAGTAGCTTTTTTTTCACCCTCTTACCACAATTCTAGTTAAATTTATGCTACCAAGTGAGAAATGAACTATGAAGTGGGCTTTTATGTAGGTAACATGATTCCCCACTTGCATCCCTAAACTTAATGCAACCACATGCATGTTCTTCTCACTACCAAAGAACAATCATCAATTGTGGTTTATTTAAAATTGTCACTAAAAATAATATCGCTGCCAGTTCACAGTAAAACCGGGAATGATAAAATCACAATCATTGCCAGTTTTATTTGTGAACCAACAGTTAAACTAGTGAAGCTACCCAACATGTTAAGTATTGAATCCCTAACTTGCCAGCCTCCTCCATTCCATTATCTCCTGCTATCACATGCATCTCTCTCCCTCCCTGTACGTCTACCACTGCCATCTACATCATCCTCCTCTCTCCCCCATCATCGCTGCATGCTTCTCCATCTCTATCCCAAAAGCCACCACCAGCATGTCGCTCTAGATCTTCCTCTCATCCCTCCACACCATCGCACTCGAGGAGGCTGAGGTAGATCCCATAACCTCTCTCTCACACACTCTCTCACTGTGCACAACCGTCCTCTCCTTCTCTACCCTATCGCCAACATCTCTCTCTCTCTCGTCCCACCACCACCCTATCTCTCCTCAACCCTGCCCCCCCCCCCCCCCCCCCGACAACCACCACTAACAAGCGCTGGAGGAAAGGCACAAGAGGGCCATATCCAGCCAGCATAGGATCGTGGCTACCCAATCTAGCCACTCCAAGCAGGGGCACAAGGTCAATAAGAAGAAGTGAGATTGATGTGAAAAATTAAGGTCATGGGATGATGTAACATACCCGAATTCTAGGATTAAGGATTTTTATGGAAAGGAAAAGTTCTTCAATTTTGTGGACCAAAAATTTCCATTTTTTAAAACCTAGGTGAAGTTGATCCATCTCTTGCATCAATAAAATTTGATGGCAAATTAAAAATTTTTCATTTATAACCTAGGACAAAAATGCAAACACAAGTGTAGAAATGCATACACACATATGGCATGGTTCAACTTGAGTCTTCTTTGTACATTTGGATATTTGGTTGGCATTGCATATTAGAACTCATGAGCATAAATAGAAGATAAAGTTTCACTAAGCAAACCCATAACCACACTTGAGCAATAATTGTAAAGACATGAGAATGAGGTTAAATAGTTTAACAACTAAGTTTGATACCTCAAATAAATCAGTCAAACCTGTCACATAGTATGTTAATTATAATCCTTAATCGGCTAAAACCTACCCTCACCAAATGTGCATTAAACTGCATGAAAGTGTATAGGGGAAATAATTTATTCAAATACTAGGTTAATTATCATGAACAAATATAAGTTTTCCAGAATTTATCTTATCTGTTTAGGTCTCCTAAAAATTCAAACTATTTTCCAATGAGCCCATCTTCTTCTAATTTCTGTGAGCAATCTATCCATAATTTTTGAGTGGAACAAAAGAAAATGGAAACTAGATATATTCACCTACCTCCAGTAAAATCCACACGGATTTATCTACACCACAAATTAATCTATGAACTAACAAAGATGGGGAAGAGAAATAATCCTGGAAATAACTGAAAATCGATTTTCACTCAAGATCCTACCCATCCCTCATACCCACACCTAGTCCACACCGCCCTGGACGCACATGACAGTCTCACTGGCTTGTCCTCACACTTGTTCACCTTCCTCAGCCGACAAGAAAACAGAGACGGTGAGAGAGCGAAGGGAAACAGAGCCAGCCGAGCTCTGGGCGTGCTCGACACGTGGCCTCGACGCAACCGAGGAGGAGGCTCTCAACTTCTCCGTCGCCCTCATCTCCATCGCCGGCCACCGAGAAGACGAAGGTCGCCAACGCCATGGAGCCACGGTCGTTTCCTCTTCTTTTGCGTTCCTCAATTCACTCTTGATGCCGTCCCCGTTCCATCTAATTTCGTCCCATTCCATGCAGCGGTTAAACGGAAACGCGACCGCGCACTCCGACGCTCTGGAGCACGCACCGAGTGCCACCGCTGCATCATCATCGTCGCGCTGGCCTCCGTGGACCAAATCCGGCCAAGCCATCGCCCCAACATCATCACCACGACCTCCTCTTCAAAATCCCTCAAGAATCCCAGGCTCCCAGCCAATGCCGCAACGTGGAGGGAGATCGGCGTCGTCTACCTTAAGTCCGGCCGCCGGCCATCGTCGCCCATTCCTCACTCTCGGGTGAGCTTCGGCGCGATTCCTCACTGATAGAGCATCTCTAGGTTCCCTCTAAGCCGTTTCCCTCCTGTCCTTGGCAGCTTGAAGACCGAAGGAACGTCGACGCCGTCGCCATGCCGATTTCCGTCGCTGCCGGGTCGTCTTCTCCACTGTCACCGATGTTCAGAACAATCCAAGCTGCGGTCAAGCTTCAGTGAGTACCCAAGAACCCAGTAGACACGCATGCATGCACCCATTCGTATAGAAACGAGCCAGAGCTCGACATGCCCTAGCATGCCGAGAACCACCTCCGCTCGCACCAACGCCGTCATAGATTATGGCCACCGTAGCTAGACACATGTTGAAAATACAAGAGAAATATGGGGACTTTTTATAAACTGTGGCATAGACACATGTTGGACTGCGGGTTCTATTCCTCGGAACCATAGAGGCCTTTTTGTATATTGGCAGAGGATGACATGTGGACCCCATGAGCTTAAAATCTGAAAATATAAGGGAAAATCACTAAAGCTTTACATTTTCTGCAGAAAAATGCTCAAACTTGTAAAATCCATATTAAATGAAAAGTAGCTCATTTTGAGATGATTCCAGTTGCTACAGATTCACAAAGTTATGAACTTTATTTTATTGACACACACTGTACAAGGTTTGCCACTAAAATTTATCCAAGATAAATCATACACAAAACATACCCAAACTTATAAAATGCAACCAAAATTCATCTCAACTTATTTTTGAACAAACTTAAGTTCTACAGATTCACCAACACTATATATAGGGGAAATAAAAGCATATACTTTACACCAAATGCCTCTAAAACTATTATCTTTAAAAATATTGAGATTTAGATAAGCTGAACTTTAGAGGTTTATATAAAATTCATTTCAACTCATTTTTGAGTAAACTCAAGTTCTATAGGATCAACAAGATATGTACTTCCAAGTTGTAAAATTAAAATATAAGCTTACTGTATAATAATAGCTCCTAAATATTTATGTAAAGAATAACCAACCTAGGGCAACCTTTAATTTGTAAAATTTGTAGAATTTGTAGAAAATTCATCTTTAGTCCATTTGGAGTGAACTAAGTTTCTGTAGAACCAGAAAGTAATGAACATAAAAAAAATAGGTAAAATAAAATCTGGCAACTCATATACTGAATGTGTCAATAAACTTTAAATAGATAACTTAGGTGCTAATCACAATAAAAATAGTTAAACACTATATATGTATAAATGTATATATAAATGCACTCTAGCTCTAAGTAAATCAAAGTCAAACTTGTTGGACCAGAGAAAACATAAGTTCCATCCCTAACCACTAAAACTTGGCACACTTAGCTCATATATCAATTTCTAGGTTGATATGTTAAGTGACTAACATAGAACACTCCATAACTTATAAAATATGTAATAGAGTAATATAAACTCTAAAATTTTGAACTAAGATTAGATTGGTTAGCTAAATTATTAATTTTTATGCATCACTAGCAAATAGAACATGTTCTGGACATAAAACTTCTAAAGCCATGTATACATAGAGATTATGTGCCTAGAACACGTTATAAATTGTAAAACATATAAGGAATTCATAGTAACTCTAGAAAAATGTGAAACCAACTTTTTTGAACTCCTGTGAACATCCCTTTTACTGCAGCAAGCCATCATTTCACAAAAACTTGACCCTAAAGTGCACCTAAGGACTAATAAAGCTTAATTAATCTTAGTGCTAGTATTAAACTTTGAAAATTAATAACTTTCAGATGCAAAATGATAAAATAAAAATTCTTTCACCTAAATTCATCTTAGATCAGTACCTAACCACACTAGTAAACTCATGCATTTAAGAGCATTTTAGATTTTTACATGATTTGGCATTTATCGTTACTGTTATTTCTTTTAGACGGCGAAATCGTTATCGGTGAGGTGATTGGACTTATAGCTGATCTCAGGGAGGTATTATATCAACCAACGCAAGTATTTCCCTTCCTTTGAACACATTGAATCACATGTTTTCTGGCTAAATGTTTTGATTGTAAAGTTGCACGCGTATATCTAACTATCGGTACTTTTAAAACTATGGATTGTAGTTGTTCCTTTAAAAGATGCATGAAACCCCCTTTGAAAATCATCCCTTGCTGTTTTGAACCTTAGGATTAATTAGAGTACTTTAATTGTGCTCATATGACTATACTATGCTTTTATAAAGTGCAAATGCTTAGCCTTGCTTAGTGATAAATAAAACATGGTTATGAGTCACTTGATATACTATTTGGAACTCCTTATTAAACATTATGTTCAGAGGTGATTCTCTGATTATTTGTCAAATAAAATATGATTTTAGACTTGGGCGGCAAGTGGTATGCATATGGTAGTAGTTGCATATCGATAGGGGGAGTGTTCGCCTAAGTCGATTAAGGACCGAACATCATATCACCCATTATGTTTATCGTACATCCACATGTGTCTTTATGGGGGGACCTTGGCCTATTAAGTTAAGCACTTGTCTGACCTTGCATTCGGGAGGCCGTTGTAATATAGGTAGGGGCCACGAGTGTACTGTGGGCTACCTAGAGGAACTACCCATGTGTGTGTTGAACCTTAGGACGAGTGTACTGTTCCTAAGTGTACGATCGTAGGATGATAAATTCCCTACGTGTGTGATTTCCATGAGGGGACGAGTGTACTGTTCCGATTCATAGCATGGGCGTCTAAGTGTGTCCAATACAATGATGTTGTGCCACGTTGGTGGGTTCCCGTTGTGTCCATTACCACGGCGTTAAGTTTAAAGCGTGGGCCCGCTACTTAATGGTTCTAGGTCATATAACGTGTATGGCCTAGGATGGAGGAACACGTATCGTGCTCATGCAAGGTTAGACAATACTTAATGTAAAAGCCTTGTCGTGACCTCTAGACCATACTCAATGTGTAGAGTATGGTGGTACCGACGGGTACCGGACAAACTAGAGTGATTCACATCATGTGGGTAAAGCTGTACAAACTCTGCAGAGTTGTAAAAACTAATCGATTAGCCGTGCTCACGGTCATGAGCGACATGATGATGTGCTATGGGTATAATCTTGTGATTTCTAAAAGCTTTTGGAACTAAATGTTTTGAGATAATGATGAGATTGGTATATGTGATACATTGCCTTACTTCCCGTTGTGTTGTAAGGGAATGATGTCTATCTATTTATGTTGTGTTGTAAGGGAATGATGTCTATCTATTTATGTTGATATCATGCCATGATTAATATGCTTTACATATTGCTTAAATTACGTTGTAAATGGTTTGCGAAGTAAAATTTGCTTTATGCTGAAAATAGAGACTACAAATAGCCTTCCTTTGACTTAGAGCTTTCATGTATGTAGGTTTGATAGTGCTCTTGCCAGTACATTAATCAAATTAATGTACTGAGTCTTGCCATGTTTTGTCTAATTTATGTTTTGCAGGAATAGACTTAGTTTAATTTGAGTGATGCGGGTTTCGACTGCTTCTTCTAGGATTTGAACTTAATGGGGTAAACCCCTAGTCGGTGTGCTTGAGGATTGGGTAGTCAAGCTTCCGCTGTTCTCTAATATAGTTATATTTGGCCGGTCGGCCTATGTATCTATTAAGTAGTTGTAATCTGAATTTTATTTGCTTTAGATGTATTTTGCTATGTATGTCCATGCTTAAGATGAAAGTGTGAATCTAGTGCACATCCTGGGAACTAGATTCATATGAGTATGAGTTAAGAATATTTGAGATGTTGTAGATCTTTAGCCATTTTTGTCAAGTCTCTTGAATATGTAACACATCTGGTCGCCGCCTTCGAGTGGTTTGACGGGCACATATCAGACTGAAGTTGACTGGCAGGCTAAAGGTCTAGCAATGTCTCTAATATTCTTCTCTCGAGGCGTCGAATATTTCATCATGTTTGTTTGATGACTTAAATTATTCACTTCATCTCTCAAATATAATGGAAGGTCCGGAGAGCCTACGACATATGACCATGGCAATAGGCAACCGATGTAAGACATGGCTGAGCTAGGTATTGTACCCTAATATCAGTGACAATGGATATCTAGCTTATCCAGTAGGAACTAGGTCGGTGGCAATGGCAACAATAGATGGCACTTCATCACCACATGGTGGTGTCGTGCACACAAGGAATCAGCAGGGAAGCCAGTAGTGGGGCAGAGCTAGAGCTAGCCTATTCTATTTTCTTTTTCTAGAAGCAATATCATTGCCAGCTCTTAGGTCGATGGTAATAGTGCTCAACCAAAACTTTTGATTGCCACATCTAGTATAAACCGGCTAAAATGATACCATTTGGAACCAGCAACAATTGATGTTACTTTTTAAGAGAACAATTGATGTTTCTTACTAGTGTAGCTGGATGGAAATTTTACACTATGCAAATACTCACATAGGCTAGTTTTCTCTGCCTTCCTGAGTCTATCGGGTAATGTTGGCCTGGTTGTTTTTCTACATGATGTAGCTCCTTCCTAACGTTCATATCTCTGTGTTTTTAGTGTGTCATAAATAGGACTCCTATCAAGTTGTCACATCCATTCTTCTCCATGTGAATTACATTCATACTATGATGAAACTGTACAATAGATTTAGCCTTCTATTACGGATTCACTGTGACGTATAGGGTCCATTGTTGATCTATGAAGAATTTTCAAGAAATCATTATAAAGTTCAGGCAACTTGAGTTTGTGGTCACAAAAAATGTCATGGTGGCAAACATGGTCACCACAAATGTTGCGCAATTTTTCATTAGAAGTTTAGGCTGGCACATCGTGACAAAATATTCCATCATAGAAATTGGTAGCCTTGGTCCTCATGGGTCCACGTAGCCAGTCCCATTTGTAAGTATGAGATTCTATGACGAAATCGTCATAAATGAGGCATTATTCGTCACAAGAGTCGAGCCAGCACACGGCAGCAAAGTTTTTTTGTCATAGAACTCCAGCAATAGTTGTCACGAAGCCCCACATGTAAGTATCAAAAAACATAAAGGAGACAATTTGTCCAGTGTTCACATGAACTGTTTCCATTTGCCCGGCATTTGTTTATCCAAATCAGTATGCTTACTTATACCCTAGTTTCTTATTATTTACATCCGACACTTTGTCCAATGACTGCATCCTAAAGCCCGGTGTGGTTATCTCATCTAAAAACACGTTGATATTCTCGAGAGTTGAGGAGGCGCCATTGATCACCATCGTTCCCGAGTGAAGGAATGTTCCCAATGGTTTATTCATCTGTAAACATCATGATTTAGCCAGACAATGGTTCATCATCCATCCTTGATTCCATTCCAAAACACCCAAGTAAAGAAGGAGCACGCGATGGGAGCCTAGGAGAACAATGGATGATGAAACGCTGTTGTGAGTCACAAAGAGGAAACACTCTGTCGTGTGGCCATATATCTCTTCGAGCTGGTGGGGCTTGAGGAGAAGATTTGAGTTGATGCCGTTGCCCTGAGGAAGATGATCGAGATCATTGATTTGAGCCAATACATTGGCCCTGAGCTAGACAAGAAGAAGGCCAAACTTGAGAAGGCCAAGTCCAAGCTTCTTGAGCTGGAGAAGAAGGCCGACATAGAGGAGAACACTAGGGGTCGGCTTGATTAATATTGTAATATGTTATACTAATAATATTGTACTGATCATTTTGATATGTATCTACTAGACTTTTGATTCAATAAATTGTTTGTTCAAGTATTATAACATTTATAACTTCAATATGCAACATTTATAACTTCAATATATCAGTAGCGTTAGGGATTTAAACATTAAAATCTATATTTTGCGATAATTTTAATATTAAATAAGTAGTTATTGTTATGCATTGCCTTAAATCAATGGTGACTACAGCATTGTGGTCAATCGCGTGTAAATAGTACGTTACTAAGGATGGCCTACCTGATAAATGGCACGAAAACAAGACCACAAGATGGGTCTTACGAAATAAGGTCTTGTAAAAACTATAGAGGGGAAGTACAAGCTTTAAAAGGTGGGCCTTTTGGACCAATGGGCCAAACCATGCCCATGTACGGTACTATTCACTTGCTTTCTTTCATTTAGTACCATACCATCTATCAAACCAGAAGGTGACCAATTAATTAATTTACACAAGCCTCTTTATTGTATTGAACATTTCAATATGAACAAATTAAATAGTGCAACTACATTTATCATTATAGATATATCAAATATTAGCTCATTCATTAGACTGTATTTTTCCTCCTAGCTTGATACAATTGTTGCAAGGTTACTATAATTAATTTGTGCAAAATGAACACCTTTATAGGTACGAAAGAGGACAAAGACATTTATCATTATACATTGTATAATATATCACAATTATCAAATATACGGTCACTGGTGATATTGTGAGATATGACAGCTAACATTCATGCCAGTGAATTGATATTATATCTTTGCAATATCTCCACGATTTGAGAATTTTGCACTATAAATAAGTGCATTATAGGTCCATTTTCCTCAACTAAAATTCAAAGTAACTCTACACTGAAACCTTGCAATGTCATCCCCCCATGTGCTTGTTGTGGATGATACCCATGTTGATCGACATGTTATTTCCATGGCCTTAATGCGCCATAACGTCCGAGGTTCTTTGTTGTGCAAGTTTCCATGTTTTCTTACTGTTGTTAACTATGTGTTTCCATGTTTAATATCTTCTGCCATTCTTTTAGACTGTTGTTAACTAAGTGTTTCCATGTTTGATATATGCAGTGACTGCAGTAGAAAGTGTCATGCAAGCATTAGTATTTTTGGACTCGGTAAATTAAAAGTTTTCTACTTGTTTATTAGGTAATTTTATTTACATATCATACAACAAACATGTTTTTATCTCTGATGGACACAGGAACATGATGTGAACATGATTGTTAGTGACTATTGTATGCCAGAGATGACCGGCTATGACTTACTCATGGAAGTGAAGGTGCGTACAATAGTGTCATGGATCGGAGTATAGTGTTAATTTTCATCATATATATATTACAATGTTTCTAGCAAATATTTTACATGTTAAAATTTGACTTGTTTTTACTTTTAGAAATCACCTAGACTGGTACATCTCCCGGTGATAATTGCTTCCTCTGATAACATCCCAGAAAGGATCAGAAAGTAAGTATGAAAACGTATACCTTGATTTCTTTAGTTGATAAATTCTCATCTGAGCTTGTGGATCCTAATATGTGCTCCTTTTTTCTTCTTTTTTTTTCCTTATTGGAGGTGCTTCGATGGAGGAGCAAAGGATTATATTCTGAAGCCAGTCAAGATTGCTGATGTGCCTCGTATTCTGAACTACATATGATTGGCAAGATGAAGAAAGAATGATCAAGATGGAATAAAATTTTGTGTTAAGATTACCTAGCTATTTATGTACTTTGTTTGCTATATGAGAAAGCAAAATTTGTTTGTTACCAAATAGAAATGAATGACAATTATCTGGGATTAAGAAATCAAACTCAAATACTTCCGGTGCCTTCTCTCGAAGAATATGGTTCTATGATATGGTTTTTCTTTTTACCGGAATTTATCACATGGTATTGTGTTGTTTTAACCAATCAATCACTTTAAGAGGTGTGTTAAACAATTAGACATATAAAGAGGGGATGAAAATTAACAATACATCTCTCTACAGATTGACATCAAACATAATCAGGATATGATTCATTCATGACGTCCTCATACAACTGTCCATGCAACGTATGCATAATTAAAAAGAGTGGACTTTCCTCATAGAGTGGACTTGATATATGTGCAATATAAAAATATTATAAGAAATAGTTTGTTTGAAGAATGGAAATACATTTGAATTATGTTCACCTCTATAATGTGATGTGGACTAGGGTTCCCGATCTTCCGAAAGGTTCAGTCGATTTGGGCGGAGTCACGACACAACTTAATCCGGCTTCTGAATGAACACGCTCTTGAGCCCCACAATCGTAGCACCACGTCTCCTCTGGTTAGCACCCGTGTCGAAACACGGATGACCTGCCGAGAAGGCTAATCCCTGTTTGTGAATCGAAGAACACAAACAAGAACAAGGAAGAATACAGCCAAAATTGCAGATGAATGATTAAACTCACAAGTTGGGGTCTTACAAACCGATCTAGCGGCGAAACTGTTCTTGACAGAATAATCTAAGCAAAACCCCAAACCCTAAAGGTGACGGGGGGTACTAATATATAGAGTTTATGGTCGTGCAAAAAACCCTTGACTTAACCCTAATGAGTTCCAACACGATACACGGCCCAAAGGCCCAAATACGGTGACGCGGCACCGGAACAGATTTTGAATGTCAAATTGTTAGATCGATTCCCATTGACTCAGAAAGAATTTGGACGTGGAACCATAACCATTGGAAAGGTTATCTTCTTAGCTTTACATCCATATAAAGAACTCCCCAATCCGAGCACGTATGCGACCTGGGCACTCGTTTTAGTGCAGACTGGTCCTGAACTCCGAATCGTACTCGAAGTCGACTTGTTTTGGGCCTCCACCTTAACTTGGACGTCCTTGATGATCATCCATGCCTCTAAGTCCCTCTCCAAGTGTCTCCTTGTCATCTTCATTGTTCCTAATCACAATATAATCATTAGGTAGCAATCTATTCTCAAAATCATATAAAGGAGAATATAGGAACGAGCTCAGCTCTAAATTCAATTGTCACGCACGAACTCTTGTTATTGGTCCTTGAATGACTGATGGAGGATTGTTGTTGTTGTGTGTATTCGAAGGAGTGATGTCCTTATCATAATGTGTCCAAACAATTACATGATAAAATGGGGCTAGAAGGATGCATGGTGCTTTCATCATTTCTCATTTTCTATGAAATGCTTGATGAAAGGTTTTTTTTTTTGGGAGTAACTACTACTAAGGACCATTCTATTGGACATCATTCTATCCAAAAATGGTACCAGCATACCCTGCCTATGACCCTACGGTACACCCCTCTGTATTTTTCCCACACATCACTCGTGTGAACCCTCCCAATAACCATGTGCCCATGGTCCCTCAAATCCCCCTTCCACATGCATGATGTTCTAGCAAGCCCCTACAACCCATGAAAGCAGGCTTTGGGTCTACGTCTAGATTGGTTGTGATCAATAGCATGGGCTGTAAGCCCTAGCTGGGTTGCACATTGGCATAGCTAGGCGATGCATGGCCTCATGTCCAGGCTATCCACTAAGGTCCAATATTGCTTTATGAATTTAATGATGTTATGGATTGATTGCTAACATCCATCTCTTGAGTACTTCCTCAGTTCCTTATGATAAGATGTTTTGGGTTTGTCCAAAATCAAACTTATTCAGTTTGACCAAGTTTTTATAGAAAAGTGTAGCAACATTTGTAACCCAAAACAAATATACTACAAAAATATATTAAATGGTGAATTTAATAAAACTCATTTAGATTTTTTAGAGGTTGCTATGTTTTTCTATATATAAACTTGGTCAGTAATAAAGAACTTAGAACAAACCCAAAACGTATTATAATATGGAATTGAGGGAGTATTTGTTAAAGGGGACATACTTACAAGTATGTGTGTTTGGTGCGTGTGCACATATACGTGTCCAGGCAATCATAAAACAAAGGAAAATTTCTATCGTGTCATATCATGAAAAAAAACATACAAAAGGAGAGAACAATCCCTTTTATAGTGGGGAGCATGGGAAAATTCACGATTTGCTACCCATTTCACGGGGCTTTGATAAAATGGCTTCTCCCCCGGTGCTAGTGAGCTCCTAGAGCCTCGAACATAGGGAGAGGGGAGAGAGCTCTAGGGGAGGGGCATAATATGTAGGATCGAACACAAGAACCAAGCCTACTAGAGAGGGTGAATGGTAAGAACACCAAAAACCAAATCTTTTTGTGAAATTAAAAGAACCCTAAAACCTGATGGAGATGTATCAATCAAACTATCAGATCAAAGCTGGTCAAACCGAACCCTAGCTGCTGGTCAGACCACCCCGATGCTGCCAGTCAGACCATCGTCTTGCCACCGGTCAGACCGCCCGTCGATCTCCTCGCCAGCTTGTTGTTGTTATCGCCGCTGCCGGTCTAACAACTCCTATGTCGTTGATTAGACCATCAGGATCTAGAGAGAAACATACCGAAGATGCTCTTGAAGAGAGGATTAGAGAAGGAAGTGAGCTAGAAAAGTTTCCCAAACACTCTGCGTTTGTTCTTGACGTGTTCTTTCACATAGTGCGTGTGTGTTTTCTTTGTGATTGCAGATCTTCGGCTTGTGGCCAACACCCTATACATGTACTTATCTCGATAGACCCACCTGAAATTTTTACATTTTGGTCCTTTTTGAAAACTTATTTTACAAATAGACCCCTGAGAAAACTTAAACCGGAAATGGTCCTTTTTGGGACGCCAGAGTGGCTGGCGCCGTACCCCAACATGGCGGCGCCAGCCACACTGGCGCCGTGCCCGTGCCACCGTGGCAATAGGGCTGTCGTGGAGGTGCTGACTAGGCCGAAGGGGGCGTCAGCCAAAGTGGCGCCGCCCCTCATAGCACGGCGCCAGCATGGCTGGCGCGCCCCTCCTCTGCGGGCCCCACCAACTTTCTCCCCCCCCAAAATTTTCGCCAAGTCTGTTCTGCCTCCAGGCAACGGCTGGGCCCCCCCCCCCGACCACGGCGCCAGGGTGGCTGGCGCCCCCCTCCTCCCCCCCATCGAAGCCCTTCTGCCTCCGGGCCTCGGCTGGCGCCGCCCTCATGGACCACGGCGCCAGGGTAGCTGGCCCCGCCCTCCCCCAGCCCGAAACCCTTCTGCCTCGCGGCACTGGCTGGCGCCGCCCTTCCCAACCGCGGCGCCAGGGTGGTTGGCGCCGCCCTCTGCCTCCCTGCAAATTGAAGATCCATATTGCACAAATGTACCAATTCACAGTTCGCAATTCAAATCACAATTCACAGATTCGTACAGACTAAAACAGGTTCCAATTGCACAAATCACAATGCCAAAAGTCCATCACATAGTCCTCACATAGTCCATCACATATTCCACACATCAAACAATGCCAAAAGTCCATCACATATCCCACACATCAAACAATGCAAAAAGTCCATTCTATATTCCACACATGAAACAATGTCAAAAGTCCATCACATAGTCCTCACATAGTCCATCACATTTTATATCACATAGTGCACCACATATGTCATACTACCAACCAATAGATTAACTTCATACAAATTACTTCTTCCGTTGGCGCCGAATTGCTTGCGAGCCCGGAGTGTACCTACATTTGAAAATCCAATGTTTAAAACATTTTAAAAACAAAATAAGGGAAATCAAATAACATTTGAGAATGGTAAGCTCATTTTACCTCTTTTTCGCTGCCCGAGTGGATCGCAAATTGTATTGCGTGGGTTGCGTCCCCTGAGGCGCGTCGGGAAGCTGTGACATGTCTATCTCCTCGGCGTCTGGTGCGACGTAGTCCTCATCCTCCTCGTCCTCGTCGTCATCATCGTCGCTAGGTGGAGCCGGCGCCTTCCCCTTTCCCCTCCCTTGCTTAATGCGTGACGACGACAAGCCACCAACTCCTTCACGCTCTTCTATCCTGATGGAGTGTCGAGCAGTACTTGGACGCGCGGATTGAGGTAGTGGTGGTGGTAGTCTCCCCGGTTGGTACACGTCGTCCAATCCAACCGACCTGCAACCTAATCTTGCTGCAAGTTTCCGGTACCTTTGACGAACTTTCTGCATTTCAAAAAAAAAAGAAGTTTGTTAGGCATAACTCAAGTAATGCAAAGTGCTAAATAAATTTTACCTCTAAAACATTGCGGAGCGTGTTCTCCGTGTCCTCACCACCCCTCGGAGATTGGAGGGCATGCCCCATTTCATTCACACTCCTGAGGAGCTCTCTCAACTGAAAGCGTGAGAAGATATATGTTGGGGTCTAGGGTGCAAATGGAAGTAACTTTGACAAATGCAAGAAAACTTACGACTCTGTCTCTAAGTGGGGCGTGCTCCATTTGATATCCAACTCTAGTCCAGACATCATAGGGATTCCGCCCCTCATCGGAGTCGCGGTCATCCTCTATGTCGGCTTCCGTCCAAGTAGGGCGGAGGAACAGTCTATATGTCCTATGCAGCCAACGAAGGTACTCTGAGAAAAGATGATTTTGGTGTATAGTCTCGATGTACCTATCGTTCCTTCCGGCTGTTCTCCATTCATCAATGTATCTATTATGCTCTAGCCCCCAGTCTTTCACATTCTTTGTTCTCACCCTGTCATACCTAGACAAGTAGAAGGTGATGAAACAATAGTGAGCATCGACAAGGGTTAAATGGTACAAAATTGAACATTGACAATGAAAGCAAACAAAGATAAGAAATATTTACTTGTGTAATTCAACTCCAGTTGAGATGTCCTCAACCGGCCAATCCTGTTTCTTCCCGAACTGTCACATGACACGGTGCGGAAGGTGGTACTCAACTGCCCAGAAACAAATCAATGGGCACTGGTACATGAAATAGTCAGAGTCTCGATTGCACATCGAGTTCAGGGTCAGGCTTGAAGCCTCATTTGTGTGGTATGGTAACCACTCAATCTACAAAAGTTGAAGAGATGTCGTTGGTTAGTATCTCAATTAAAGAAGTAAATGTCTAACTAGAAGTGATATTGGAAGTACTTACATGTTGAGGCTGCAAGCAGTCCATCTCATTGACATA